CCCCCCCCCCCCCAGCCTGCCCCTCAGCATGGGCATGGAGCTAGTCCAGAGACAGGCGGACCGGGTAGTTCCCACCAGCAACCCACTCGGTACTTGGCAACTGACAATGAGCATGAGGCGGCAGGACCTAGGCCACGAGGCACGCCGGCGTACCGTACCCAGGGGTCACGAGCAGGTCGGGGTGCATATGGAGACTGCCGGGCTAGGGGTCGGGGAGACCCAGGCTCCGTGCTCGGTCGGCCCCGAGAGAAGGCATGAGGCCTGGGCTGGAGCACACTGTGCCAGCTCCCCTCTGCCCAGGCGCCCAGAGCAGCCCGTTCATGTGAGCACACGGTCTCTTCTGTCTCCCTCACCCAATTTCTCCCATCCTTAGGCCTCATGCCTGTCTCTAACTCAATCGTGTCAGTCACCTAAGTCATGCTCCTAAAAGGACAGTAGCCTCAAGGGAGTAGTGGCGGTGGGAGGCAGAAGGGAAAAATTCTTTTCTGTCAAAAATTTCTAGTGAGGCTCCCCAATCCTAACGTATAGCCCCAAACTCAAACATGGTCTTAAAGTAAGCGTAAGAGCACATGATAACTAGTCATTCAATCCATATTGCAAAAACTTAATCTACCTTTCTCACTCTAAAAGACAGTGGTTATACCATATCATGCTACGTTTCCACCAGGTATGACTCCATATTGGCACACTGATGTTATTAAACATATCAAGTGCCAACTTCAGCTAAGAGCATCCTTTACTGACTATAATTTATACTCAAGAGTGTCCAAGTGCACACTCAGGGAGGTGCCCACCCGCCCCTTGGAGCGCCTCCACCAACCGGCCCCACTGCTGGCCCCCTGCATAGCATTCCCCTGGCTCCCTCTCACATTCCACTCGGGCCTCAATGCCAGTGCCGCCTCCTCAGACAGCCTCCAGGACCACACCAAGATCACCTAGCACCTAGCATCACACTGCGCCCCGTCACCCACAGCCCCTCCTGGGGCCTGCACTCATTATACTGCCTGACTTTAAGTCATCTATTCTTCTACTTTAAGTTATTTATGCTTTCCCTTCATGTCAACTCCATGGAGGAAGGGGTTTTGTTTTGTTCCGTACTACACTCAGAACAGCGCCTGGTACATATGGAGGTCTCAATAAGCATCCATTAAATCAATGAACAAAAATGAACATTCTTATTCAGCTGCACAATTTGGTCCCGGCTTACTTTTGGATGTTAATTTGCCCCAGATTTATTTTAAAACCGGGAGGACAAAGAAATTATGTGAAATATGATGAAAGAGATATGTAAGATATTTAAGTATACACAATATAGATACATAAAATGTAATTTTATTTTTTTTTTAAATTTAAGTAGTAAATACTCAGTGGCTATACTTACATCTGTGTCTCAGCAAAGTTAGAGACCCAAGCCTGAAGCTCCCAAACTCTGGTCTGCAGAGAGAACCGATGGGTGGTGAACGCCACCCCGGTGCCTGGGGCTTCCGCAGGCCGTGCAGCACCTCATCGTCCTACAAGGTTTCTAGCAGACACTGCGGGTCCCTGAAATCACTTTCTTCACATGCCGTGTCAGGGCTCTCTCAGGACACTGGACAAAGATGTCCGTCACCACACCGTTGGGGTGGCGGGACTGGGAACAACCCAAATGCCCCACACCCAGGGACAGTCGGATAAACACTACCGAACCCACGCTGGGCACCATGATGCAGCCAGTCACAATAATGGCTCAACACCTCATCTGCTGACTTGGGACGACGCTCACAGAGGGCTGCCACCAAGCAGGACAACCTACAGACAAACGTCTACATGATACGATGCCATTTCTAGCAAAGTGAGCATCAACCACGAAACAGTGAGAATGACCATCGTTTTTCTCTGGATATGGTCTCACTGTGCTCATTTCGTACTTTCAAAATAATTCAAGACTTTAAAATTTTAACAAAACGATGAACACTCATGACGGGGTGTCACTTAAAACTCTGCAACGAGCACCCACATATTACAAAGGCGATCTTTCAGCAGAGTACAGGCGGCCCACCCTTAGGCTAGTGGGGGGCACAGAATCAGAAGCGTGCCTACGCGGCTGTAAGTCATAGAGATGCCTCTTTATACCTAAAAAGTACCTACTTCTTAAATGTGTTTATTAGTTAAGATTTTTCTAACATCGAAAATGACCAATTCCTAATTCTCCTATCACTTCCTATTAGAACCACAAAAATACATCCTATGTAATTTGCATAAAACAACAAACACTGATTTAATTATTAGGCTAACACATAATGGCACAATACTGGCAGCTTGCAGACTATTTAGAAGTGAGGGAAACCATGCTGAGACTCGAACTGGCCTCCACGAGTCCACTACTCACCCCCAGCACCAAAGTTGACGACGTACTGAGAAAACAGGGCGTCGAGCTCGTCATACTGTACAAGAGCGTCTTCAAACTGCTGCAGCATCTCAAATACGAAGGCAAGTTCCTCCTGGTGACCAGAACAAAAAACCAGCAAAAACGTCAATCAACTTTTTTGGAACAACACACAGCCAGCAGAGATCACGACGAGAGAAACCTGTGGCATTAAGGGCGGTACTCGGGTGGGGCGGCCGGAGGCAGTGCACGGCTCCTGGTTCCAGCTCAGGTCAAGATATCACGGCTCGTGGGTTCGAGTCCCAAGTCAGGCTCCAAGCTGACATCATGGGGCCCCCCAGGACTACCTCGGCCCGAGAACCAACCACTTCTCCAAAAGGCCCAGGCACTGGACTCAGAATGGAATTCGGAACCAAAGATCTTATTAGCACTAACTAAGTGTGTTTACTGCGACTGAGACGTCATCTTTTTTCCAGGCCCTGTCAGGACGGGGCAAGGAAATGCGTGCATGTGTACATCCTCACACACATGCATCTAGAGTTCTGACCTATCCATCCACCTGTCTGTCCATCCGTCCATCCATCCCACCATGGGCTCACACTGATATCTCAGAGTCCAATCCCACACCACTGGGTTCACCTAGATTCTCCCTCTCCTTGCTGGTAACTCTTAGAAATGAAATTTGATACACCGGAACGGTGAGGTGACAAGGCCGTCTGAAAAGTTTGTAGCGGGTCAATCATACCGTGACTTGTGGACCCTCACGCGTGCCCAGTCACCGAACACCACTGAGACATAAGCAACACAGTCAGAGATAAACATCAAAATTTCTAATCACTATTGGTCTCTTATTTGTTCAAAGTACATTATTTCTTCAGGAATTAACACACAAGTGCAATTTAAATATGAAAACTTTTTTTCAGTCTAAATGTGGTGAACATGCAGGAGGAAACCTAAGGGCAACATCCCGGTCACCCTCTGCAGTGTTAGAAAGGTGTGCCAGAAACTGGCTTAAGACCCTCCTTTATTGAGACCTCAGACTAGAAGTCAAACTACAGAGGAAATGACTGTCCCTGGGAAGTCCTAACACAATCCCAGGGCCACGCGGGTGGCAGACGTCTGTCCTCAGGATCAACACCACGGCCAGGGCTCCTCTGCTTGAGACATCTCCACGGAGGACACCCCGGAAGGCCCGAGGCAGTAACACCACCCAGATTAGTCTGAGGGACAAGGCCCTTTTGAAAACGGCCAGATGCCGAGCCCTGAAGCGGCAGGAGAGCTGACGGACGCGCCGCGGAGACGGCCTCTGATCTGCCTCACGAGCCCAGAGATGGAAACGTCTGTGGCTACCACGCTGTCTCTTGGTTTCAAGAGCTATGCTAGTGACCACGAAGCCTGCCTTGTTTCCAGAGGAGGAGGAGGAGGGGGAGAAGGAAGCGTCTAGTAGGACTGGACGCCCCATACCTGGACCATGAAATAGTCACAGAAGCTCCAGCCCGGCTCCGTCCTCTTCTCCCTCAAGGTCCTCATGTCGTCCTCAAACTTGCCCAGGTTTTTGGTAAAAGACATAAGAAGGGATGTCCTGAGTTTGGTCAGGAAGGCATTCCAGGATTCCTGAGTTCGAGAAGAGTCCTTCAGGGGGTCGGAGAGCACAACACACCTGCAGAGACACGAATGGATGGTCTGGAAGACGCTCTCCACGCACGGCATGCGGCCCAACTGCTTTCCGCCCCTGCTTCCTCCCTTCGTTAACTGGTGGCGACCGTCAGGCCGGCGCCGAGAAACTGGGTTGGGAAAAGGTTTCATCAGGAACTGGCTTAACGCCACACGAGCAGCGGGCGCCGCGGAGCCGTGGCGGCAGGCAGGGGTGTGCGACGTCTGTCTCAGATCCAGCCTCCGGGGCTCCCTGGAAAGTGAGGTGGCCGCCAGCTCCCAAGCCTCAATCGCACTGCCCCCTGCACAGACCTCGCCGGTCCCTGACACGGCACACGAGGGTTGTCACGCCCTGACCCGGCCCGGCGGCCCAGCTCGGTCTCACTATTCCTGGCCAAGCCCACCCAATGTCTCGAGCTCTACGCTCAATTCATCTAGCACATTCCCGCTCACCCTTCCAAACCCGGCTTGGCCGACACACGTCCTCCCGGAACCCCTCCCCTGCTGCCCTGTGATTGCACTACCCCCGCGGTGAGTGCCTCACTCCCTCTCCGCAGCTCCGTCTCTCCCCCTGGGCCCTAGGCCGTGAGCTCTGCAAGAGCAGAGTTCAGAAGTAATCAGTAAATAAAAGCTTAAAGAATATGGCTTGATATTAGGTAGGATACAATTTCACTACAGAAAGACTATCTGGGGGCACCTGGGTGGTTCAGATGGTTAAGTGTCCGACTTTGGCTCGGGTCATGATCTCACGGTTTGTGGTTTGAGCCCCAGGTCGGGCTCTGCTGACAGCTCTGAGCCTGGAGCTGCTTCGGAGTCTTGTGTCTCCCTCTCTCTCTGCCCCTCCCCTGCTCATGCTCTGTCTCTATCAAAAACAAACATTTTTAAAAAATTTTTTTAAAAAGAGACTATCTGTGGCATGGAAATACCAAAGGCATAAAATTACAAGTTTCCAGTGGATTTGGAAAAGGCAATGTGTTCATCTAACAGGCTGGAAAACACAGATGTATCTTTTATAATAAAAATTTAGAAAGAAGATGAATAAACATGAACTCAGAAATAATTTTAAATACTGACGCTGTGAGCTCAATATTTCTCCTCAGTGGATGTGTTGCCTTAATTACTAGCCAGTAGCAAAATGGAGAGTCTAGGTCTCTGTGCCCCAGCACAGCCTTTGGAGGAAGGGCTAAACCTCTGGAATCATAAACCGGGGACCAAAACGTGAAGCCCACAGTCTAGATGATCTACCAGGTGAGGAATCAGTACCAGGGAGAACATTTACGAATCAGTAGCCGGCTTCCAACCCAGATACCCCACCACATGGTGCTGTTTCCTACCCCGAAGGGCAAAAGGCCCCGGTCCCACCAGCTCATTCCTAAAGCCCCAAAGGACTGACATGCATCTATTCCCTCCACGAGCTGAGAGACTCTATCAGTTCAGCCTCCTCAAGGCTGGGTCATCATGGACACTTATTCCTGGCCAGACACAGGACTCTCCCCCAAAGCTCCAGGGGCAGAAGGGGCAGGAAAATGATGGCAAACCGACCCCCCAGGCAGTCTTTGTTTACCCAGAGCCGGTGCTTACCAACCGGACGAGACGTTCATTAAATTCTCTCTCTTACTGTGTCTTCAACTTGCACAGTTTCTAGATTTTCTTTTTATAACAATGAAGAACTATGCTTCAGAAGTCTGTGTCAGGCCTAGATGGTTAACCCAGGAGAGCGAGCCCGGAACAGCTCCCCAGACTGGCAGGCGCTGGCATGCAGAAGGGCTCCTCGGAGCAGCGGGGACCTGGGGGCCCGGCCTCCATGTGTCATCGGGGCCGCTGCTAACACAGACAGCTGTCGGGGCGGCCCTCTGACACGTTACTAACCACCTGAAATACCCACCAAAGGCCTGAAAAATGCACATGACCTTTGGCCAAACAACTTTCATTTTAGGGATTCATGCTAAGAAATAACTAAGGATGTACACAGCGCCCAGGCGCCAACACTGTTTACAGTGCTATTGACAACAGGCAGTAACTCGTCCATCTGCAGAGGGCGGGGTAAACAACTTCCCGTACGTCACAGCTACGGAGCGGTACGTGCTCACTGACGATGATGGTGGGGAAATACATTTATTGTTAGTGGAAACATTTTTACAACCATCAGGTGGGAAAGGCAAACACAAAATATGATGCAGGTATATCACGTGCACCCGCACACACCACACCACCCGGCCCTGAGCGTGCTTTGTAAAAAGGAAAGGTTTGAAAAATACATACCAAATACCAAGAGTTAAGATCAATTTTCATTTTGCTCACTGCTTTCTTCTAATAATCCTACGATGAACATGCAGTGTTTACAATCAGAAATTGCATGCCAGATTAAGGCTAAAGGAAACCAGAAGCCGCCTCAGGGCCAAGTGTGCCATGTTTCCGAAGGCCAGAAATCAAACCGGCTAATAAAATAACCGTGAATACGAGGTTTCCAAATTCAATATATGGACCCAACTCTTCACTTTAAAAAAAAAGAACTGATTTGTTAAAGGTGCTTGCAAATTAATGAAAATCAAAACATCAGAAGGCATGTTTTTATGCTGAGATGAAATGTTAAAATCTCGGGAAGTTGAATTTTACATGTAAAGACTTAGTCAATGGAAACAAGTTAGGTTTCCATGGGCTCAGCAGGAATGTACTTTAAGCAATTAGATAAAATCAAGTCACAGCCTTTAAAGCAGTCAACAGGCACTTTGAAAAAATTAGACAATTCAAACATCTCACAGGTTTAGACCAATCCGCCCCATTACTACCAATTTATGTTCTTAATGAAATCCCAAAGAAACGTGACCAAAAGGCCATTTGGTCTGGTCACTGGTTAACCCTCTGCTCTGCTGCCCTGGCACCCCTCTCCCCATCACCTCCTCCCTCCTTCCCCCCACCACCTTCCCCCCTCGGGGACAAGAGCTGTGTTCCCGGCCCCCCTCCCGGCAGCCGGCCCCCCTTTTCAGAGCAAAAGCAGGCGCAGCCGAACCACATGGGGAAGGAGACCCGGTTCCGGGGCATCTTGCTGAAGCGCTAAGCCGATTCCTTCGGGATAACTAACGTACGAATAACAGACCTTAGGACACATTCCCACAAGTCCAGATGGCATGAAATTTCTCTAAGAGAAACCGTGAGCTCAATAATCTAATGTTTATTTCAGACTATAAATAAAACAAGTCTGAACGTCGCTCTGTGCCCAGAACTGTGTGGGACATAAAATGAAAGCCCACAAAGACTCCTTCCCCTGAAGAAGAGTCAGTTTACCGGGTGACACAGGACGCGGCAGTGTTGGTCAGGATTCCGGCCCGGGCTCCTCCCCTCGCTCCCGGGTGCTCCTCCCTCCATAGCCCTGCCCCCCCAGCTCCTCTGTGAGCACCTGCCACCGGGGCGACCACCGGTGTGGTGACGCGCCTCTGTCCGTGAGGCCACACCGTACACCGCAGGCACCAGGAAGTCCGCCAGCCTGCCCGGCTGGGCGCGGCACCACCAAGAGGGGAACTGACCCCAGCAGCCAGAACGGGGCCACACAGGGCCAAGCACGGGGAAAGGAAGGAGCCACCATGGTTCTGTGGCTCCCTTTTGAAGATCCTAAAGATTAAGTAGGCATTTCAGAATTCTGGTTCTTAGGAACTCTTAGCAGGTATGAAGGAAAGCAAACGCACCACAGGGTTGAGGAGCCCTCCTGTACACAGGGACGCAAGGTGTCCCCAAGCCTGGCCACTCCAACACGCACTCCGGATCCTCAAAGGGAAGCCACGTGCGGGCTCTCCTGCCGTGGTCACCGGGCGGCACACTGGGGGTTACAACTCCTGGCGTTTCCCCCAGCAGACCGGGAGCCCCGGGAGGGGGACCCCAGTCTGCAGCACCCACCACGTGCCACAGCGTCAGGTCCACTGCCGGCACTCACTGAGGAAGATCCCGATGCAGAAGCCGGTCATCTGGGTTCACTTACCTGTCACTCTGTTTATTACAAAAGTCATTTCTTATCTTGTCCACAATGGAAGCTCGGGGAAGAATGTTGGTTTTGTTTTTCTTCTTGGCATCATTTTCAACTACCACTATGAGCCAGTCCACAGAGCTATGAGCTTTCAGCACGTTCTGCCACTTGGTAAGGTCGTCTTTTACTGTAGCTTTATACACTTCAGTATCCTAAAAATAAGTAAGTCAGTGGAAAGGAAAGTTGATCAGTGCCCTTCAGTTTAACAGCAAAATGTGTCTACTAACAGAATACATCGGCCACAGTGCTTTATAGCTTTGGGACGGGACCCTCCATGCAAGCCCGGTGCCTGGGGGCAGGCCCAGGGACACCAAGGGAAGATGGCTCCAAGGTCACAAAGGAAGAGACCAAGAGGGAGCTTAGTGAGCTGCCCGCGGCAACACGGTCCACTGAGTAAGCCAGGACTTTAAAATCCGGCCTACTATGCGAAAGGGCCCGTACCAACCAACTCTGTTGTTGAGTCCCTGGCACGGGTCCTGTGTCCATGGGGAGAAGCCCCCCCTCCCAGCCCCCAGCTTGGAGCCTGCAGGAAGCCTAGGCCACCACGAGGCGCCTCCTCCACAGCCCGCAGCCCTCCGTCAGCACCCAGGACAGCGCCAAAACCACCTGCGGGCCACACGGGCGCGGCAGCGCCAGAGGCAAACAAACCCAAGGCAAGTGGACAACCTAGGGCTTCCGGAAAGGAAAGCCGGTCCAAGTCACAAGGGCCCCAGGGGAGACGCCGCTCCGGAAAGCCAACACCGCTGGACTCACAGACGCTGAGGCCGGCCTGCCCAGAAAGCCCACGGCCCGCCTCGGCCCCTCCACGCAGAAGCGCAGAGAAAGTCTACCTGCTGTCAGCGCTGGTTTATAACTGCCCTTACGCTCTACCAATCCACGCAGCAAATCCAGAGTGAAAAATCTAAAACCGAGATGCTTTACTTTCAAATTGGACATTTAAAAACCAAACTAAAACTTAGAAAACTAAAATTTAGCTACTGTTTATAAATACATAGATTTCCCCCTTTTTCAATACAAAGATTCTTTGTTATCCTGCCCATACTTTCTCTGGATTTTTTAGTTTGTCTTGAATATGCTAAAGGGACCGATCCCTGAATGAGAAACCTCAAACTCTGTACCCAGCCCCTCCTGTGGTTTAATCAGTAAGTGAAAAGTTCCAGAAGTCAGTACTTTTAATTTTTAGTCTGGCTTTTAGAACCTCTGTGTCCTCAGTTTAAACTGAATACAAACACAATCAGGAAAGATTTTTTGCTGAAAAACTAAGAGGAAAGCCATCCTGCGAGGAGGGGTTTTCTCTGACCCGCCATCCCCAAGAATGCGCCCCTCCGCCGCACCCCCTACGGACCGGAGGCTCCCCTCATGATGCTGGCACCCTGCGAGGCTGGGGCCTACGTGCATCACGCCTGCAGGGTGAAACCAAAGGCCGCAGACCCCGACTGCTTTGCAATCAAACCTCAGGGCCCAGGGCCAGGGAGCCCGGAAGAGCTGAGAAGCACTGAAGGCCACCGCCCTGGGGCTGGTGCCAGGCACCCTCTGCCCATGCCAGTCCCGGCTCCCAGCTCTCCAGACCGGGGAGGGGCTGCCACACTCCCTGAGGGGACCCCAGCGTCTCTTCACGGACACCCTGCTTGGGACAGAGACCTTGCTGGGCAATGGGCAGGGCAGAGTCCCCTGAGGCTCTGGGGGAGATGAGCCATGGGCACTCGGCCACGGCTCACAACAGCCAACCATGGGCATTACGAGAAAGGCTCGGTGACCGCTCAGAAGAGCCCAAGCTGCACCAGTGAGGGGAAGGTGTCTCCAGAAAGCAAAGCCAACACAGGAAGAAGCCGCTGGCTGGGGGTGGGGTGGGGGTGGCGGATGGAGCAGTCCCACCCGGGTACCAGAGCCATGCGGGGCAAGAGGGGAGCAGATGGCGAGATGTGGGGCCACAAAGGAGACAATGGAGGCCTGGGGGGAGGCATGAGGGTCAGAGGCCCAGAAGGGCCGAGGGGGCCTCCCTGCTGTGTAACCTTATCTGGGTGCTACAGATCAGCTGAGGTGAGGAGGGAAGGGATCCATGGGGAGCGCCAGCCCCAGAGCGCGGAGGAGCCGGACAGCATTGACAGAACGCTCCCGGACAGCGATTATTCAAATAAGCAAACTTATGGAGACGAGGCGTGCCTGGCTCCTCCATGTCGTGTCGGGGAAGGAAGTTACAAACCTGGAAAGACACCAGAGCCGCCCTGCGGTACAGGACTGCCATCGGAATACGTGTGCACATGTGCATCTGTGCACACACACACCTACACACGGACATAAATGTACACGTGAGGGGGTGCACACGCCTGTGCACACACACGTGCTCCAGGGCAAAGAGCACGTCTAGTCCAGGGCCTGGTTTCTAAATGCCATCTCCCGCCGGAACGCCCAGTGCTCCTGGAGAAGGGGTAACCCCGGGGCTCGGGCAGCGAGAGGACCAGATGACCTTGGCACATCTTGCCTTAGGGAGAGTTCAGAAAACACGGACATGTCACAAGGTCACAGAAGCCAAATCGGGGACCGTGTGAGCATTAAAACCAATACTCATAGCAACAGACTACACTCCCCAAATTCAAAATCAACGGGTACATACCAACCTCAACCAAGAAACGGGGCAGCTGCCTCCCAACGCGACGCAGTGGCAAGGGCACACGGACCCGCCGCCGGAAACAACCAAAACACGGAGGAGGGGACACGTGCGGGGAGGCGTGCAGGTGGCCCGCTGAGTGCGCGGAGCTCCCGGGTGCTCCCGGGTGCTCCGAGCATCCTACGCGGAGCAGACAGAGCACAGGGCCCCGGGACGCCAGGCCACGATGCCACAGGTCGGAGGTTAGAGGGGACCCCAGGGCGAGCGCTCAGCGGGGGCTGGCCAGCACAGGAGCATACGGACTACCCAAAGCCAGGGAGAGACCCACCCAGACGGGGCCGACAGCCGCACCGGGCTGGGACCGGGCCCTGTTCCCGCAGACTGCGCTGGAAACCTCCAAACCCACGGCACTGGGAGAAGGCCTCAGGAAGGAAGGAAGTTAGTCTCAGACTGACCGGTTTCAGACCCTCAAGTCCTCAGAGCAATACGTAAAAGGACCCAAAGTAACTTAATTACACAAAGCTGAAGAAAACTTCCAGGATTCCCAAAATGCAAGCACTGATTGGGATAAAATTCACATTGTCTGGAATCCCATAAAAAACTGCCAAGCAGGCAAAGAAATAAGGGAACATGATCCATACCAAGCAGAAAAATCAGTCAACAGAACAGCTGCGGTAACGACACAGCTGAGAGAATGAGCAGACAAAACCAGCAAAACCCTTGTTGTGGCCACAATCAATGTGTTCAAGAAGGCAGAGGAAGAGCGGATCTGAGGCAGAGACATGGAAGAAACTTTAAAAAGAAGGTAAAGACCCCAAAGGATCGTCTAGAGATGAAAACCACGGCGTCTGAACTGCAAATACCATGGCGGGGGGGGGGGGAGGGGGGGGGCTAAGAGCAGATGAGATGCCACAGACGAACAATGAACAATTAGTGAACTTGCAGACACAGAAATGGAACCAACCAAATGAAATGGAAAGACTGAAAAGCCATCAGCAGGACCCAATACGTGAGTAACTGGGGCCCCCAGAGGGGAGAGAGGCAGAAACAGAACAAGCAACTAAGAACGAACGAGCAGAAATGTTCCAAATTTAACTTAAAATTACAGGGGCGCCTGGGTGGCTCTGTCGGTTAAGCGTCCGACTTCAGCTCAAGTCATGATCTCACAGTTCGTGGGTTCGAGCCCCGCGTCGGGCTCTGTGCTGACAGCTCAGAGCCTGGAGCCTGTTTCAGATTCTGTGTCTCCCTCTCTCTGACCCTCCCCTGCTCATGCTGTCTCTCTCGCTCTCTCCCTCTCTCTCTCAGAAATAAATAAAAAACATTAAAAATTTTTTTAATTAATTAATTAAAATCACAGAACCACAAAGCCTAAAAAACCCGAAGGGCAAAAAAACATGAAGAAAAGTACACCAGGGCATATCATAGAAGGTTTAAAACCCAGGACAGAGAAAAAAATCTTAAACTGCTGGGCGGGGAGGGGGCGGGGGGGCACTCTGTAAAAGTAGCAGAGGCTGCGCACGGTCACACCGTAAGTCAGAGGACAGCGGAGCAGCGCCTCTTCCGTGCTGGCTGGAAATGAAGACCCGTCAGAGCAGAATTCCACATGCAGTAAGACACTCTGCAAAACGGAAGACCTGCTCAGATCCGCAGAAGCCGGGAGGGCCCTCCCCGCACCACCGGAGAGGGGGCACCGCGAGGGGGCTCCGCAGGCAGAGACTCGTCTCTAACTGTGGGGCGCGAAGCCGCAACAGCTTCCCGGGCGGCAGGGACCAGCGTGCAGGCGCACGGCCGGCGGGAGGGGGGCTGCAGGGTCTGCGCCACTAAGCGGAAAGCGAGCACGACGCGGGAGCTGTCCTCCTCACCCCCAGGTCCCAGTCATTATGGACGTGCTCCAGAGAACTGTCCGTAATAGGTAACCATGGAACCAATGCAAAACAGCAGCAACCCACGGGCTCCTTGTCTGGAAAAACCAAACCCCCATTCACGACGTCTTCGAAAGCTTTATCTAGCAATAAAAACGCAAGACTCAGGAAAAATACGAGAACAAGGCTGAGGGGAAAAACAAGGGCAGAAACCATGGAGAAACAAACCACGTTCTCAGATGTGCGATCACTAGAATTCTTCCCAGCCAACCCGAACTCCTTTGAGGTGATCCCAACCCAAATTCCTCCAGACTCTCCTCTGCTCTTTGTGACGGCTGCTCCGCCGCGCGGGGCTCTGGGACGAGCTGCTCCACGGTGGGGCAGTCCCAGCCCTTGCTCTGCTCCCGCATCTGCTGTCTACACAACGTGGGGGCACAGCCCACCTGCCCACCTGCTGCGGCACCTGCAGGCTGTGGGTAAGGCGATCGCGTGTCTGCCGGCGGAGGCCAGCGTGCTGGCCGCGATGCACCAGGACAGAGGCTGCACACCCCAGGGGCCTTCCCACGGGGGCACCTGACGCCCTCACAGAAGGGTGGCTGGGGAGCACGTCGGGGGCTCGGTCAGTTGAGCGTCTGACGCGGTTTTGGCTCAGGTCATGATCTCATGGTTTTGTGGGTTCGAG